AAGATAAACTAATCCTAATCTGATAACAAGATAAACTAATCCTAATCTGATAATAAGATAAACTAATCCTAATCTGATAACTTACTAACAAGATAAGATAAGATAAGAGCAATAGAATAAGATAAGAACAAGCAAGATGATCTAATCTAATCTGGCGGTGGGTCAGGTTCTTGTTGCTGCCGGTGGCGATGGTACGTCTTTCCGAGGAATGCGTCCATAACAGCATCTTTCCTTGTTACTTGTTTACTCTGGTATTTACTTTCTATTAGCATCCATGCATTTATCTTATTCTAGTGCTATTTAAACATCATATTGACTTCAGCTCTGTGGCCTAAAGATAACTCCATTTCTCTGGGCTACTTCAATGTTTACATTTATTCTTATTACTTTCTTCATGATGCTTTGCTCCTGATTCATAGTTCAGATATAGGTCAATGGTCTAATTTCTTTTTACCTTTGACCACATAAATAGGGACATCATCTTGATTTACGGCTTGTTCGGAATCAGTGGCTTTTGATTGATCCTGGGGCAGAGTGTCTCATGTCAGAGGTGAATGAAGACAAAACAACTGGAGACTTCAGAGAAATGGGCTCGAGGCTGGCAGAAGAAGTGACATCTTTTCTTAGAAGGAAAATTGATAAAATGTCAAGATCTGGGGGCATAAAAAATATCAAGCTTAGTTTCGTTGGGCATTCCATTGGGAATGTCATTATAAGAACTGCCTTAACAGGTAGCAATCCTTAGCTCGGCGACTGTGGTCTTTATTGCTTGTGTTTATATTAAGCATATACTTTTTATTTGTCTCAGAGACCATGATAGAGCCATATTTGAAATACCTATATACATACATGTCAGTATCCGGACCACACTTAGGGTATCTATACAGCTCAAACTCTTTATTCAACTCTGGACTGTGGCTTCTAAAAAAGCTCAAAGGAACACAGTGTATTCACCAACTTACTTTCAGTGACAACCCAGAACTACAGAAAACTTTCTTCTACAATCTTTGCAAGGTATTGAAACTAGATTACCCTCTGATGCTTTTTCTAAATGTAAAATCTGCTGGACAATGCAATAATATGCATGACCAACTGACCTGACACATGCTTGTTTGGAAAGAAGGGGATAGTTTTTCCCCCATTAGAAACAAGACTCTGAAACAACTTTTCTTTCCTTTTTCAGCAAAAGACATTGAACAACTTCAAGAACATAATCCTTTTATCCTCACCTCAGGTATTCCCTTTCTGTCTTTCATGATTTTCTTTTATAGGTAGGACTTTTGTAAGGAATTATTCTTTTTATTTTTCTATTTTATTTATTATTTATTTTGAGGATTCAATATATCATAGGGTTCTAGATATGAAAATCTAATAAGGCATCTGATTTTTCTTTGGTTGTACCTATGTTTTTCACTTTTCCAGACTGAAAGAAAATTAAAATTTTCATGTAAACATGACAAGTTTTACTCGTTTTGAGGTCGAACGTCGGGTGGTTGGATACTTGAAATGCTTAAAATCTCATTTTCATTTTTTTTTTTTTTTTTTTTGTTCTTTGTGTGATGGGTCAAAGAAAAACAGATTGTTCTTTATTTGATATTGCTTCTTTTTGGGATGATTGTTTTGGTTCGGCTTTCTCTAATGTTTTCCTTGATTTCATGTCTCAGGATGGCTATGTTCCATATCATTCAGCCAGAATTGAATCGTGCCCTGCATCATCATTGGACTACTCAAAGAAGGGCAAAATCTTCATGGATATGCTAAATAATTGTTTGGATCAGATCAACAGCCCATCCTCTGAGACACGCATTCTCATGCGTTGTGATGTTAGTTTTGGCATCTCTTCCCAAGGAATGAATCTGGACACCTTCATAGGACGTGCTGCACATATTGAATTCTTGGAGTCTGAGATCTTTTCAAGGTTTTTAATGTGGACTTTCCCAGAGATATTTCGTTAGTGGTTGTCAAAGCCCGTTTTGGTATTTCTCTCCATCTGTTAATCCAGACTCTGTTCCAGATCTCTCTTACATGTTTTTCTCAAAGTGAGCTTCAACCAGTGTAGAGGTTAGGGTCTGAATACCTGTGTGTGTGTGTATGCCAGATGACCATTGAAATCATCTCACCTTGGCTTCCAGCAGTCTGTTGATGGATACGGGGCATTCGGGCATTGTAAAATATGATCGGAAGCTTGATTTATCAAAAAAATATGATCGGAAGCTTCATACATTCAAAGGTATTTTGTTTTAATGAGAATCAGAAATGTAATTAGTTGGTGAGTAAGGCAGATTCATTCACTGATTGTATTTATAAAAAAAAAGGAAAATTGCAGATTAGTACCTTAGTACCTTAGTACTTTGGGCGTAATCCCACTTTGGTCTCTGAATTTCAAAATGTGTCAATCCAGAATCTAAACTTTCAAAACATGTCAACTTATTACCTACCATTAACCATCCGTCAGTTAATGATATCATGTCAAATTTAACATTTTTGAAAATGTTAAAATTATCCTTTTAAAATAAAGTACTGTTCATCATTTTCTTCCTCAAGGAAATGAAAGAAGTGTAATGGGATTCCTTCAGAATAGTTTCGTTGGGTTCAGTTTCTTGTTAAAAGCGGAAACCACCAATAATCGTCACTCGCAACAGCCCCAGCGAACTCTGGTCGCATGTTCTCGAAGTCTGGGCAAGTGCGGATGTGGTCGAGTGTGTATCAAATTACGCAAGGTGGCAGGGGGGCATGGAATCTGCATCCTTAGCAGCGGTGGAACAGTCACCAATGTGACACTGCATCACCTTGTAGCATCTGCAGGGAGCGTAGTGACACTGCACGGTTAGTTCGAGATACTTTCACTGTGGGGACAAGTGCTTCCGCCACTGGCTCTGCCTGGTTGCCTAACGATTTTTTTGGCAGGAGGGCAGGGACAGGTTGCTTCAGGTCCAGTGATGCTAGTGGTTGCATCATTTTCAAATGCCATGTTTGAAAGACGGTGCAGGTACAGCCCACAGCATCACAGTCATCAGGGGTTACAGGTGGAATCAGTGGAGGAGCTGGAGCTGCTGCTGTTTTTTCTATAATTTGGGAGTGAACACGTGCAGTGTTACTACGCTCCCTGCAGATGCTACAAGGTGATGCAGTGTCACATTGGTGACTGTTCCACCGCTGCTAAGGATGCAGATTCCATGCCCCCCTGCCACCTTGCGTAATTTGATACACACTCGACCACATCCGCACTTGCCCAGACTTCGAGAACATGCGACCAGAGTTCGCTGGGGCTGTTGCGAGTGACGATTAGTGGAGGAGCTGGAGCTGCTGCTGTTTTTTCTATAATTTGGGAGTGAACACGGTCAACTATTAGTTTTCTGGAGATGCTTTTGGTTGGAGCGGCAATGTTTCAGTGCCTCCATTTTAATGTTAAATCCAATGAGATGGACTTGAGTGTCGATCTCTAGATGGTAAGTAGTTTTGACATTTGACCTCACAAGGGTTGATCGATTTAGGTCTCCGCTTTGAGAACAACAATGAGACCAAGGGACGATGGTACAACTATTTGTGTAATAAAGATCATAACCTGTAAAGAAATAGGCCATTTTCATAATGGGGCGAAGAATAAGTAGCAGCAGTGGAAGAAGACCAAATGAAGTCTTGATGCAAGTATAGAAAACTGTAATCTCACCAAAGGCAGAAAGATATATGAAGCCTATTTAGACAAGCTGGAAGATAAAATCCAGCGTGAGCTTGAAGCAAAGGATTTGCGGACTTTCCAATGCCAGTGAATGCAAATTCATGTACAAATTCTTTTCTTGGGTTTCTGCTCGTTCTGCATGTTTACTGAATACTGGTGCACATTCAGAAGGGCATTTGGATGGTTTATAAAAAAATTACATGACATTCAAAGAGTATTTTTGTCTTTTTGCATTCTAAGTGATTAACGGTACTAAGTTGACACATTTTGAAAGTTTGGATATTGGATTAGCACGTTTTGAAGATTGGGGACTGAAGACTAGGCACAAGGTACAGGGTATTAATTTATAAATTTTCCAAAAAACTCCATAGATCATGGATCTTCTTTTGGCCAAAGTTTCATGGATTCCTTTATCTTTTTTGGGAGGGGGTGTCAAGTTCCATGTTATCAGGCAGGATGACCATTCTCTGGCACTTCAAATGATTTCACGTATAGTATGTAATGGCGTGCAAATGTGCAATAAAAACATGTAAAACTCACCATGACTATTTTTTCGTTTCTCCTAAATTCACTGTCATTCAAAATCAAGACTATGCTCACATTGTTCACACACTCCTTTGCACTTGCGTTGAGAATATCTCCCCATAAAAAAGCATACTAATATGGAAATATTCCCAATGCGCGGCTGTAAAAGGCTGTGACAACGGTTTGAGCACTGAATCCGATCTCTCTCAAGACCCTCTTAGTGATTTACCATCAAATGATATCAAATTTCCCATACCACCCCTCCAAGTGAACTGTTCATGGTCTTCTTCCTCTTAACAACCGAACCGACCAAAGGTGCCTCTCTCTCTCTCTCTCTCTCTCTACAATAATAGGACAGAAATGATTCATTTGAAACCCATGGTAGAGAAGAACCAGCAATAGGAGGTGGGTGTTGTAGCCTTTTTTTTTTGTGAACATCAGTTTCTCACTATTGACATGATTGGAGCTGAGCGGGTTGAGAAGGTGGAGGTCAAACTAAAGAGCCACACCGTCCATGATAAGGAGGGAGATCTGGAGATATTGAAGGGAATGCATTTATGGATGGGAAGACCAGGCTCTACATATAGAAAACAAGGCGATGAAAGAGAGCTTAGAGGAGATGATGAGAACTACAGCTCAGGTGAGAAATCGCTGAGAAAGCAATAATGTTGGAATGAAGAAAATGTCGGCTCGCCATGAATTTGAGCCATGAATGAACAAAAAGAATGGCAATGGAGAGGAGAATGGTTGGAGAGAAATGAAGAAATCTAATGGTGCTCTAGAAAACCATGCAACAACCTATGTAGAGAACTATCAAGGCTGCTTGGCCGTAATTAAGTGTCAATTGGATTTGTTTGAACTCGGTCAACATTTTCTGTTTCATTGTTTTTAACATCTCTTGCTTAAACTTTTCTTTGCTATTCCTATTCTTTTCTAACAAACCTTGTATATAATTACATGTAAGTATGTAGTTATCGAAGTTGATTTAGTTCTGAAGGTGCTTCTAGCAGTAAGCTATGTTTCACGTATTCGTTACATGGTGGTAATTCAGATATCATACCAATAAATTTGCTGACATATTTCTCGTATTTTCTTTTCTTTTCTTCCAAATGTTAGATGAATTGATCACTTGCAAGAAGATCAAATTAAGAAAGCACTGTTTATGGGCACAGTGGGATGTGGTGGTGGTTGTGGTACTCTGTTTTGATTATAAAATGCTGCTTAAAGTTGAACATCAAACAGAGTATCGCTTAAAGTTGAAGATTTATTTTGTCATTTAATTCTGGGGGTTGAGAACACTACTTTTTCTTAATCTGGGATGTGGTGGAACTCATTTGGTCAAGTTTTAGCGCATATACTTCTTATCGGTTATCAAGTGAGATTGTGATTCTTTGGTCAAATTTCCGGGCATATGCATCAATAGCAAATGAAGCAATTCCTTGATCAATTTTGGCGTCTCTTCCTCAGGTTTTGGGGCATCTTCATCTGCTTTCTCCTGCAAAAATGGAGGGCTGGTTTGGAGAAAATGGAGGATTATAGCACATTTCAACGAGATGTATCGGGATTGCGGCTTCTCTGTGTTTTTGTCGCATAATTTATTTTTCACTGCAACTTCTTGAAAACCCTAATCATATTTTTTCTCACCATTCAGGGTACATTGATTGTATAAATTATTTTTCACTACAACTTTTGATTTGGAAAGCTTTAGCAATCATTTTCTAGAACTTACATAGAGTCTATTTACTAAAGTAGACCTCTTACTTGGCCAAATTCACCTTTTGCCCAAAAACTCTTCATAAATTCTAAGAATCTTTAGCTAACTATTCTCCTTCTTTTAGATTGTCTCTGATATAAATGGAACTATCGTCAACAAACCACAAGTGAGAGATTTTTGGGCACTACTTATTAAGTTTAATGCCTGAGATGCTTTTATTAAGTTAAACCTTTTTGAGAGAAGAAGATAATGAGGACAATTCTAGAAGATAGTAAGAAGATCAACCAACATTTGGGGTGCGGAGTGGATTATCATCATGTCTTCAGGAAGGCTAATCAAGCAATAGATTGGATGGCTAAGGAAGCTCCTTCAAATCCTAATGTTAAGCTCTTCCCCTCCCCCGGATCCTTGTGTAGCTCCTCTTTAGTTCCACCAAAAAAAAAAGAAAAGAAATAGGTTCAAAATCAATATATAAACCTACTTAAGGATATTTATGAAGAGGTAACAACCAATGTTAGAACACCAATGGGAGAGACTTCAAGTGTTCAGTTATAGTAAATTTTCACAAAGGTTCAACATTTGGCCTTTATCTATTTGTACTAATCATAGATAAATTGATTAAACATATTTAGGAAGAAGTTTCATAGTAAATGTTCATGGATGATACTGTTTTAATTGATAAAATTAATGAAGGATTAAATGCAAAATTAAGCTTATGGACAAATGCCATGCAGGTTTTAATATAAGTAGGACTAAAATAGAATACATGACATATAAATTTAGTAATAATAGAAGTGTAAATAAGGATGTATGGGATTGGAGATCAAGGGATAACTCAATGTGACCATTTTTCGATACCTTGGTTCAACAAAGGGAGAGATATTGAGGAGGATGTCACCCAAAGAATTAGAGCAAACTGGGTAAAATGGAGGGGTGCATTTAGACCTATTCATGGGCCAGGCTCAAGCTTAGCTTTTGTCAAAATTCTAATGGGCCTGGCCCGAAGCCCGAACCCAAGACAGTGTAAAATTAGGCCTGAAGCATGGCTCGTGAACAGGTCTAGGTGCATCTGACGTTTATGTGATAGGAGAATACCACTTAGATTAAAAGAAAAAATTTATAAAATAGTTGTAAAACTAACCATGTTATATGGAGCAGAGTGTTGTTAAGAAATAACGCATTAAAAAAATGAGTGTAATAAAAATGCAAATGCTAAGATGGATGAGTGGAAAAACTAGAAATGATAAAATTAAGAATAAAGTCATCTTTAAAAACTTAGAAATAGCTCCAATAAGTAATAAAATGTGAAAATATACTAAAATGGTTTAATCATGTGCATAGAAGACCGCCAACAACTCCAATTAGAAGAAGTGATTTGCTACAAGTAGAAGGAGCTTGAAAATTTAGGGGTAGAGCAAAAAGAACATAGGTAGAAGTAGTAAAAAATTATTTAAGCTCTAATAATTTAACAATGGATATCACTTTAAACAGAGTGAATTGATAAAATAGGATTCATGTAACCCCATATAATTGGGATAAGTTATGGATCATGAATGCA